AAAAAAAAAAACTTAAGAGCCAGAAAATAGCTCAAAATGCTAAGTGAACAAGCCTGATAACTGAAGTTTAATTCAGAAAAAGCCAAATCTGTTTTTTAATGCAGTAGTGTCTATAATCTCAGCACTTTTTAAAAGATATTTATTTATTTGTATATAAATAATAAATGTACCTCTGTAGGTGCTGGAACGTGAATTTGAGTCCAAGGAAGAGCAATATGTACTCTTAATTAAGAATTACTCTCTCAAGCCCATTTCCCAGCATTCTTATGGTAAGATGAAAAATTTGGAACAGAATTGCTTGAAATCTCTTGGGCAAGCTAGCCCAGAGTGCATCAACTCCGAAAAGTTGTCCTCTTACCTCCCTCCATACATACAACAAACACACACCATTGTACACACGTTCTCGAGTTCTTTCTCTCCCTTTCTCTCTTTCTCTCTGACACATACACAAAATAGATAAAGAAAGGAAGGAAGAAAGAAAGAAGTGACTAAGTAAGTTTTTAAAAGTATTTAAGAAATTAACACAGCTGAGACGACACCCGCCACTCCCACCCCCCCCCACACCCCACTGGTACCCCACCTCTGCCCCCACAGCCCTACTATGAGTCATGGCAGGACAAAAGACACCCAGAGGCCCCAGGTGGCAGTAGAGAGATGGAGGGAAACAGAAGCAAAATGATGAATGCATGATGAAGAGGTGGGACTAGGGACACAAGGGTGGTGAGGGACAGCCTGATGTGAGAGCATGCTGGCCACCTATGGCCATGATGAGGTCCTGGTCTATGCTGCCGCCGAGGGCCCTGTCTGGGTCTGTGGCTGTGCAGCAGCTGGGGTTTGTGTCCCCATTTAGTAACATGTCCACTGCCCATGCTACTGAAGGTCACGCAGATGTCTGTAGTCTGGGTGCCGCCTGGGGCCAAGTTGATATTGGAAGGCTGAACAGAGCTGGCCCTGCCCCTCCCTGGTCGCAGCACTGGAAGAGCTGGCCCCATCACATGCCAGCTAGTAGGAATTCACACTGAAATCTTTATTCCTAGCATAATGCTCTGTATTAGGACATGTTACTCTGAAACAATGGTGCCTTCCAACTTAGCTGCGTGGATCTAGTCAGGCCCAGCCCCTATGTCCTTACTCTATTTGAAATTTTCATTGTGTAGTACTGAAACTGGATAGCACTAAGTGTCTAATAATGACAGCTCTTAACGATTTCAATCACTTAACATTGGGGAATCGGGAAGACCAAGACAAAGTCTTCAATCTCAGAAGAGTGCTAAGACAACTACAACAGGTTGGCTCCTTTCAGAGAAAATTAAACCCTCGGACAGAATTTACCCTAATGATCTAACATAGCTCATAAGAGTATTAGGTTCACTATTATGAAAAGCAGTATATACTACATAAAGTTGAGACACAAAATTCAATTAAATAACATCCCAATTAGTCCCTTTATAAATCCCAATTGTGTTTCAATTGTACAGCAACAAAAATATGCTAATATTTTTGACCAAATCATAAATACCGGTAATATATATCACGATACCTCTTCCAATATCTTTTCCTTCCAAATCTTTCAATGTGAAGGACCTTCCTTTTACAATAAGAATAGCATCGCCTTCCCATTTTTTGTGTTTTTTCTTGGAAGCTTTACACCAAACAACACTGAAATATTTATGCAAGCTGCTAGCTTCCTCTTCTTGTGCCTTGGACTCTATGATTTCTTTAGAGGCTGAGTGAACTGAAATAAAAGGTAAATTTAAAACATTATTATTGAGAATGACTAATTTCTAAGAATCAACCTCATTCAAACAAAAGTAAATGGGTATACCAATACCATAGCATGAGTTCCACCAGTAATCCCAGAACGCTGGTGGTAGGGCAAGAGGACCAGTTCAAGGCCAAACCTAGGCTACATGAGAGTCTGTCTATAAATAATAACAACAGCAATGATTATATGCACAAGAAAATTAGAGTGCATTAAGAAAGAATATAAAAGTATCTATGGGTCAGTAGGATGGCTCAGTGAGTAAGGCAAGTACTGCAAAGCCTGACGATCAGTTTGATCCCAGGAGCCCACATGGTAGGAGAGAATCAACTCTCCCACAAACTGTCATCTCATCTCCAATGACACACAATGCCTCTGACACACAAAAAAATAATGAATGTTAAAAAAAAAAATTAAAGAGTATTTGACATGTTCATTTTGGTATTTAAGAAGCTGAGCAGTCTAAACACTGGGTGCAAACATTACCATGAGTATAACGAATGTAATGTTTTATCATGCTTAACCTATATACATTCAACTGAAATAGTATAACATATCACCATAAAAACTTTGGAGCCTTAGAAATTAGAGCTAGTATTCCAATGTCTAGACATGGAGAAAGATATAAAATTATGTTTTAATGACTGATTGAATTAACATGGCAAGCTGAGGAACAGATAAGCTTGCAGGGTTTTTTCAGATTAACAAAGTTCTATTTTTCCTTCATTTATTTTTATTTGACAAATTTATATATATTGTGTCATACAACTTAAACATTATGTATTGACTGACACCTCCCCCATCTCCCACCCCATGCCCTTCTTAGTGATTGCCATGTTGTTCCTCTATCTCATCATTTATAGATATTAGATATAAGTGAAATCATAAGTAGTTGCCTATTTCACTTGCATAATAGCCTCCATATTCTCCTACGTGGCCACAAATGAAAGGACTTTGTTTGTTTGCTTGTTTGGTCTTTCTTTTTTTTTTTTTTTTTTGGTTTTTTTTGGCTGATCTGGAACTCACTCTGTAGACCAGGCTGGCCTCGAACTCAGAAACCCACCTGCCTCTGCCTCCCAAGTGCTGGGATTAAAGGCATGCGCCACCACTGCCTGGTGCTTGTTTGGTTTTCAAGAGAGTTTCTCGTATAGCCCTAGCTGACCTAGACCAGGCTTTGTAGACCAAGCTGGCCTTGACCTCTCAGAGATCTGCCTGCCTCTATCTCCCAAGTGCTAGGATTAAAGGTGTGTACGGCCACCACCTGGCATACCTATCATTTCAAACAAATGCAGCCGGGCGGTGGTGGCGCACGCCTTTAATCCCAGCACTTGGGAGGCAGAGGCAGGCGGATTTCTGAGTTCGAGGCCAGCCTGGTCTACAGAGTTCCAGGACAGCCAGGGCTATACAGAGAAAC